AAGCCTGTGTAAGTCTAAAATGTGTGGCAAGTCTAGATTTCCACAGTTTCTGAAAATGAAGAAAGTCTCTATGTTATTTATTTTTTTATTGTGATCTGTTTTATTTGTAAAATATGTTCATTTCAGAGAGTAGTTGTTAGTCTACTGGCACATAAATCCCAACTCATACAGCTACCATGTGCTTAACCATTGTTAACAGTATTATCTCTCTGTTTTTAATTTTAATTGATTTACCTGTATGAAAACCCTGAATGTATACATGATATTCATCATTATTATTTTTGTATATGCAAATCAGTCCCATCCTAATCATTGATATTCACAGATAAAAAACAAAGATGCTTTGTCTTTAATTTTTTTGTTTATTTCACAAATTAAAAATACATGCAATCTTATTACTTATCACTGGTACTTGTATTTCCCTAAAACCCACTGAAAATGTTGTTGTCCACGTGACACAGAAAATTGAAAAGTTCTTGGTTGTGTTTGTTTGTTCCTTCTCTCTATAAAATGTTGCAATTCTTATATGATTCTGGCTGTCGTGTTAGCAGAAACTAATGGTCATGGGATTCACACATAGAAATATTTGAGGATGAGCCAGACACAAGCATTTGCTGAACAAATTGACCTTGAGGGTGTGAAATATTTCATCATGAAGCGACCGTGATGTAACAGCAAGTCTTGTTGTTCATTTTACATAGCCGTTTGGGAACATGTGATCCCTTCATTTGTGTAAACAAAGAACAAGATTATTGTTGTTTTGGATTATTTTGTGCACTTGGAAAAAGGTTTGAGGTGCAAGATTCAAATAATGTTTTAAACACTATAAACATGATAAAAAAAGCAATACTTATATCTTTTAACTTTAAACTTATTTAAATGAATATGAAAGTGAAAAGTCAATTGAATTTCTTTTTTTGTACTTGACACCATATTTTTGGTGAATTTGTTAACCAGTAACACAATTTAAAGAATAAGATTCAGTATGGGAAACTATGATGAAAGCCAATGCAAAGTATGACTGGTTAATGTTCAATATGCCAGTGTTGATCAGTGATCATTTACAGCACTTCTGATTCCCCAAACAAGTTTTGTCACTACTGTTTCATTAAGATCAAGGATGTATGTTGTGTTAGCATCCATTTTCACAAACATGTTTGTCAACTGAGAGTACTTCTTTATCTGATGTGTTGTGATTTCTTTGGACAACATTCCTGCCCCCAGGAACTAATCTGCTTTAGCATTCAAAATTAGGAATGATGGTCATTGGGTCCTTGATGGAAACTTGATGCTTGAGATCACAACTCAGTGGTAGTGAACAAACTTCATCATTTAATAAGGCAGATACAGTACTGGACCTGAGACTCACATGGATCATTTTGGATCTTATCTGATGAGTTCCCTGGACCCTAGTTCTGCTCTAAGGCTGTACTGAATGCTGAGCCCTTGGATGTATAGTAATTCTATCCTTCAAAGAAGCAAGTCTTGATAAGGAGACAGTCGAAGCACCTCAGTCTGTTATTTCTTATTTTTAGAAATTATCATTTAAACTATCAGTTTCTACCTTAGAGACTTTTGCAAGTCTACCTGGACCCATGCAGTTGGATTTGAGTGGGCACTGTCGAATCAGATTTGGAGGAAGCATGTGCTGAGAAAATGCACACAGTAATCTTCATCTATATAAAAAAATACCTATCAGGACAGGAGATATAGGTAAATGGCAAATAATTTTGTCAACATGATCCCTGGACTTAAGACATTGTGGTCAGTCATCCATGGATCATCAGTCATTTCAGTGATCGTGGTAATCAGTTATTAGTGATTCCTAACACTGTAGTTGACACTTACACCGATCAGAGATGAAAGTCACTGTGTCATGTGTTGATTTGTCCAGAGAATAGAAATAGATTCTTGATGTGATCAGTGAAGGACGTCCACATCAATTGTTCTAACTGGGTCAATGGTTGCCAGGGCACAGACAATACAGCCTTGCTGCTCAAAATAGTCAGCTCACAGTTATACAGTATTGTCTAGCTTATGTTAGTGAGGACATTGACGTATTGATGTTTTTTAAATTTACCAACAAATTCTTTGAATGTCATGAAAGGGCAGTAATAATGTTGTCTGAGTAAATACCAGACCGTTTTGATAGTCAACAGTGACAAGAACTCAATATTAAATATAAATGTATAGATGATTTGATAAAACAATTGGAACATAGTAATTTCTCATGTTTCAAATCACAATATCCACCTGTGACTGGGACAGCAGATATGACGTCTACTTCACTACTGGGGCTGATATTCATGGGAAAACACTTCTTCTATGGTTATAGGCATTTTGAAATATTGGTTAAATAGTAGTATTGGGAATTGCTTAAAATCTCATAAATGATGATTGGTTCATTACAACCAATCAATCATAAAAAATAATTGGTTAGCGTCATTTATCAAATTTTCCTGTTATGTTTGTTAATGCACACAAAAATAAAGAAAAAACACGTAGTTCTATGGGTTGGTTTTTTTTGCAAATCGCACAAAATTGATTTGCAAATTTCACTTCTTTAAAGGATGACTTGTATGTTAGGAACATAAATTTCCTGGAGTCATTAAGATAAATTCAATTTTGACTTAGAACAAGCTTGTAGTTGCTTATGAAATGTAAATTGTAAACCAAAAGTCGCAGTGTTCTTTAATCTGATTGATTGAAAAACATGATCGAATGGTATTCAATTTCTGGACATTGCAAGACTATTCACTACACACAATTATATTGTTGCGTCGTCAGCAGTGGTGACATCATTCAAATCATATTGTGACGTAAAGTCGGCATGACATCACAAATGAGCAGTTCCAGATGCTGCCATGGGAACCAGCCGAAACGGCCAGCTGATGACACTTCATTGCTGTACCCGTACTCGATGTCAATGAGTGCAGACAGTAAAACCCATGTGGGCCTTTTGGTTTACTTTTGTGTTTACAATGCAGATAAACATCATGTGTTGGCCAATGTCCGGGTGTTATTGTGTATTTGAAGCACGGGAATATTCCATTTGAAACCTCCGGCTAACACCGCCAATTCTGAATGAATTCCCGTGCTTGAAATACTCAATAACACCCAGAAATTGGGCAATACATCTCCTAATTTAATGACACAGACAAAACTAACCTTTTGAAAAATATTGTTAATGCAAAAAAGTGCTCCAAAATTGTTTGTGTTTGATTATGAGAAAACATGATCAATTGTATGGTCGTTTAGTCACTGCGGCCAATCTTCGATTATTTTAATTAATTGGACCTGCACTATTTGGTGTGAATCACTTTTCTCAAGCCTAAACAAAATATCTACCCTGAAATGTTGAAATGAAGTTTGCATCCAATGTTTAGATTTTACTTTGCACAGAAAGTGCATCAAATATTGCAAATGATAAAAAATTGACACAACAAAATGATAACAAATATATTTGATGTACCAAATTCTTGACAGGAAATATATTGGTGCTCTGATTAAAGTATTATCTTATTAAAGAACAAATAAACTGTGTTTTTTTTACTCTTTTAACTATTACATATGAAAGATTTGTGGTTAGTCTTATGCGGAACACCAAATTTATTCTTAAAAAACTTGTGGTTAATTAATACCGAGCGATTAAAAGTTGCCTGCTTCACTCTCGCCCGCCAACGAAACCACAGACAGGTTACGTAACTCTGTCGCCAGAGTACTGCAGTGACGTCATATGAGGAAGGATTTTTTAAAATCGTAAAGTCACGGGCTAAAGTAAGAATTAATGAGATTATGGTTTGTTTTCATCAAGTTAGAAAATCAAAACTACTTTCAAGTCGTAGTTACATATGTATTTGAATCATGACCAAAAGGATTTTGCATGACACAACTTATAACATAACGATTTCTTCCACGAAAGCGAGGCGGGGGTCGAAAGTGACAATACTGCGAGATAGATTTCTTGCTACATTCACGTGGTTAACATCCACTCACCAGTATGTAGATACTAGTCAATGTAGTACATTTACATTTGGTCTGATAATCCTCATTAGTTTATAATCTAAGTGGTGTTACCACTAATTATACCTGTTATAAATTCATTAACTGACCATCAAGTGAATGATGACAAATAACATTGTGTAGGTTTATACCACCTAACACGGGTTACAACAAGGGAGTATTAATTGCTGTATTGCATGTGAAAACTTATGGGCCGACACTGTTTTGAGAATACGAACAGAACTTCATTGCTGCATTTGTTGCATAAGAAATACATATAAGCATTTGCTGTGTGCTAAAACTGTATGTACCTATTTACCTAAGTAAATTTTCAGATTCTTCTAGCAATGGCAAAATAGGGTTGTTTAGTTTACGGATTCAAATAAATCAAATGTCAATTTTTAATATCATACGTAATAGACGTCATATTTTTACATGACATGATTAAATATCCAGGTTAAAAAACACAGAAATGGGATCAATTTGGATCAGTCGTTATACCATCCAGGCATTAAAAAAAACCTAAAAAAAACCCACACTGCTTTGATACGTTATTACAATCAAACAAGAACTACCGGGGATATTTCAAATAACTGCATCTGATGGGCATCCACCCTTCTTAATGTCGCACTGTTTAGGTTGAAGAAATTAACCGTAACTGTGATGAGCGAGACTGATCATCGTTTACGCTATCACTAGCGTCTGGCCTAGCGACACCAGGCGAATTTTGACGATGCCAATTAGTGATTCATGTATTTGTACCCCCCAGATTATATGTGATCTTTAAAGTATTATCAATTCTTACACTCCACTCCGCCCGGCCCCGCTCCACACCACACCACACCACACCATTTCATTACTTATGCAGGACTCTCACGTTTTGTGTAAGAACCCTGGAAGTTGATTGTAAGAAGTCCCCTAAGCTCCTTGTTTTGTAGGTTAAGGAAAAACTGTCACTGTGTGTTAAGTATATATCCTGACAACTTCCTCCATTACAGCTTATTGGTGGTGCAGTATGTGGAATTGGAATATGGGCATGGGCCGAGAAGGACATGTTCCAGAACATCGGGAAGCTGACCAACCTGACGGTGGAGCCAGCGTTGATCTTCATCATCGTGGGCCTCATCATGACCTCCATCAGCTTCTGTGGCTGTATCGGCGCTCTCAGGGAGAATACCTGCCTGCTCTGCACTGTGAGTAGTACATCAGGGACGTTGGAGTTGGATTGAATGCTGCATTCAACACTGTTCCTCTTATATCACAGCATGTCATGTGAGATGAAATTAAGCTAGTTTCAGATGTTTACCACTTTATGAAACCCACATGAACGGGTGCTTACAATCTCAGAAACATAAACAGGGCCAAACTGGATTTGAACTCACAATCATAAGGTTCTGGTGTGCCCAAGGGAGGCAATCCAACAGTGAATTGTGGAGCCTTGGAAGTATAATCCACCCCTTGCCTCAGTACATCATGGAAATGGAGATACTGTTCCACCTGGAATTGTATACTTTCTCTAACTTTATCCAGGAAATGAGTTGTTCTGTGTAAAATAATACTTCAGTTAAATAATTGAATATAACTTACTGAATATTTTTGTCATGAAACATCAGTTGTATTGAAGATGAAACAGGCAGGTCATTAAAAACCTGATGAGTATTCAGAAATCAGCATATAGTGTAGTATGACCATGACAGATTTGTGTATTCCTACCAAATAACTCACTCAGTCCTTGCCCAAATATTGTGCAATGTCATTGTTGTGCATTTCTCACATTTTGACTGACACAACAATCTTAATGAAATTGTTTAGAAAGTAAATTAAGATGAATAACTTCAGCATCCTTGATTCTAAATCAGATATGTTAAGGAGTTTAGTACTATACTCATGAGTAGATTTACTTCAGATAAAGTAACACCTGTCATCTGATGAAGAGTCCATTGTGTATGCAGTAAGATAACGCCTGTACTTTAACTTAAGGACACAGATCTCTACCAGCATAACTGTTTTGTTCTTTTCCCTTGAACATATTTAACATTTGACATGTTTAGCATGCAAACATCTCTTTGGCTCATAAATCAAAGTAATCCACGCCTTCAAATTTTCATTTTACAATCTGATCATGCAACATGCTTTGTCATCAGCAATTGCTGTTATAGTATAATTAACCTACGAGTACTACAGGATATATGTGGAGGTACATCTTGTCCTTGTAGTGCAAGGCCACATAGGTTCTGCAATTGAGAATAATGTATGTTCCTTGACAGAATTTTACTTCCTATTGTCAAGCTGAGTATTAAGGCATAAGGTGTTATTTACAAGACAAACAAGCATGGATGTGCTTGCAGTTAATGTTAGCACTTCCTGAGATTGTAGGCAGTTGCAGGCAGCCACGTCTCCCACTCGTGTGCTTTGCCTTGTATGACCTTTTGGCTTACACTTCATGCTTTGCTTTGTAAACCCCCCACTGCTATACCGGACACAAACATTAGGGGAGAATTGACTGTCCAAAATGGCTCAAACAGGCTTATAGTGTTTGATCAGCAAATCTGCACAGACTCTGTACAGATGAGGACGATGTTTGCTCCTTGTGCGTTTGTGTTATAGCCAATGTCCAGTGAGGCGTCTCAACTATGTGGAGCTTATTTGAGAAGTTGTTTAACGTGTTTAAAGGTCATATGTTTCTGATTGATAGCTTCATCCCTGAAAGATGTTAGGTAATTCCCTTTAACACTGGTTATTGTGTTTTCACACAATTGGATTTGTCTTGATCTGAAAAAAGCCCTTTGTCTCAATGGAAGTTTTCAAGATTAAACATATTTTGTGGATCAGTATCTTCAGTTAGTGTCAGTGTGTCTTGTGTTGGAATAAACATATTGTGCAGATCAGTAAGTGCACTGGGGATGATTGTGTCTTGTGTTAAGAATGAACACAACATGTAGATCAGTATGCACAATGATTATCTCATTAAAAGTATTTTGCATAGATCATATTGTCATTTGATTAAAATACACATTGTGTAGAACAGTATGTACAATGATTGTCTCATGAAAAGTATTTTGCATAGATCATATTGTCATTTGATTAGAATACACATTGTGTAGAACAGTATGTACAATTATGATGATTATGTCATGTTAAGAATAGACATTTTGTTGATCAGTGTGTAGGTTATCATGGCTATTTTATGTGTAAACAATATACATGATGGGTAGATCAGCATTAACAGGTATTATGACTATGTCGTGTGTTAACAATATACATGATGGGTAGATCAGCATAAACAGGTATTATGACTATGTCATGTGTTAACAATATACATGATGGGTAGATCAGCATAAACAGGTATTATGACTATGTCATGTGTTAACAATATACATGATGGGTAGATCAGCATAAACAGGTATTATGACTATGTCATGTGTTAACAATATACATATTGCTTAGATCAGTATGTACAATTATTTTGATTAATCTCATGAATATACATTCTGTACATAAGCAAGCAATGGTAAGAACATATATTAGGATTGTGTCCTGTGCATTGATTGTGTTCCATCTCGTTGCAGTTTATGGTGTGCTTGGGCTTTATATTTGTGTGTGAAATCACTGTGGGGATCCTTGCCTTCGTCTATAAACCATGGGTAAGTGGCATTTCTCCATTGTTTCATAAAGAACCAACCATGGTGATAGAGGACAGTTTCTTTGCATGATAATAATTTGTATAGTTAATGCACATTCACATCAACAAGGGTTGATCCCTCCAGAGTTGTTAACCATGTTAACTGACAAAACGTACAGGGTCTGACCCACTCAGCCACCAGTTTACACTGGTCAGAGGGGTACACAAGGTATGTGCACTAGACAACCAGTTCTCAGACTTCCATTTGAAGCCGCTGTGTGTGGGTTAGATCACTGACTTTGTGTGCTTCCGATTAAGTACCTTAATCTGTGAGTGTGGGTTTGAATCACAAATAGGACTCAGCCCCACAAAGTACTACAGAGCTGCAGATAACTTTTTGGGTCATTGAGTTATGTACTCACTTGTGTTCATGTCAGTTGGGTATCCTAATTTTCCTTTGAGTAACCAAATAAATTGTACTCACCTCACTCAAACTCAATTGGGTATTTTGCCATTTTCCATTAATTTTAAAAATATAATAAAGTTTAAATGTTAGTGTTTGTTATTTATATTTGATCTGTAATGTGAGAAACGATAAGAAAGACTGCAAGTTGCCGAGTTCATGTCCTCGGTCCTAAAATAGAACCTCTCAATATACCTGTTATTTTATCTATCCACCGGTACGCATGCTAAGATTTGACATTTTTGTGTGTACGCATGTAAGTTCACATTTATTGAGTATTTACAAAAATTCAAGCGTACTTGTACACAATAAACTTAATAGGAATTGAGTTTTACATAAATATTTGCGTAATGTACGCAGATACACAGCTTATCTAAACCTCTGGTACTAGAATCAGTATTTTACAGAGAAATGTAATTCCAAATATGATCTCACCTATGTTACATTTGACCACTTTCTAAATGGCATCGGGTATTCATGGTAATGGGGCCACACAAAAAATCCTTTGGTTCCGGTCACCCGACCCTACCTAATTTTTTTTGCCAGTCCTGGAGTTTTTATTGAGAATTTATTTCTTTATAAAATATTTAAAGTCCCCGACCCTAGGTCTTTAAAATCACCGGTTCTACATCTTTTCTAAGCTAAAATGTCATCTTTTCGTAAATACGGTTGCCAGCTGTTTGCTGTCGGCTGTAGTCTCGCGTCTTCTTATGAACTATTTTTCGCATTGTTATTGAAAACAACGATTCTCAGACACATGCTTTGACAGCGGCTCCACAATATAATTGTCAAAGAGCAAAGTAACAATGTTTCGAGGAAATCATTAATTAAATTGAATAAACTAATGAAGAAAATCAACAACAGCATTCATAAAAGTTGTCAAACGTACATATACATTACTATTTCCATCATTTTGTGCGATTGTGTGATGCAAGTCAAATGACTGACAAGTGACATTGTGGCTTTCGCCGCCTCGATCTTCACGCTCGGACACGATGTTTAATGCGAAAATATATGCATAAAGCATTTTTGTCACAGGTCATAACCTAGCAGGATACGTCCAATAAGTTCCATAATTTACGTATAGGTAGCGATTTCTTGCTTAATACGTTCAGAATAGCATTATTTTACCCAAAACCTTCGTCTAAATCTAAAGGTTTTCGTTTACGAGGACAGGTATCCATTGCTGTAATATGATTGGCTGTCTTGGGTCATGTGCCTGATTTTGACCAATCACGATTCTTATAGCAGACTGTGGCGAAAAAAGCGTCATTAGAAACCAATCTTATCCAATAAAATCGCTTCTTACAACTGTGAAAATACTCTCGGCAAGGGTACAGTGATATAGTTGATGTTCAGAGCTTTTGAACCATACCCGCCATCAAACGAATCGCCTCGCATGTTATTCATACGAAGCTTCGAAAACCGAGGTATTTTCCGCTGTTGTGTGATGTTACTGAGCGGAAAGCTACTGATATCGGGAAATAGGCGACCATACATACATATTATTTAAGCAATCTTTTTATCATAATTTTCCGATTACATAAAAATGAAAATATAAAAGAAAAAGGCACCGGGATCTGATGACATGTCACAAATGGAAAAAGAAATCGCTGTAGTTTTTGCTTGTTTCGTGGTTTGTCCTGACATTATAAATATAAGTTTGCATTTTCATTAAAAATAAATTTATTTAAGTTGTAGTTGTATTATTTGAATAATTTGATAAAAATAAATTTCATATTTTATATCAACAGTAGGATTAGACCTTTCAAATGGTGTGTGAGATGTAGTAGCAATAACATTTTACAAGCTCATATTTTCCATGATAAACATATAGGCTTCATCTATGACCTTAGAGTCTCTGGGAACTCAGTGTCATATGGCAGTAAAAGCTTCTGGTTGACTGGTTTTGAAAGAGTTAAAAATAACATGTCATAGGAATGGGGTATTGAAATTATTTAAGACTGTCAATTGTCCTGTTATAAATTCTGTGCAAACAGATAGAAATAAATCCTGTACTGTAGTCAACATTCTGACAGTACATCATCTGTTAAAGTTTTATAGAATACAGATTTCAGTGTTCTTTCAGTGTGTTCTTTTAAACTGTTGGTTTGTCAAGTTTCAGTGTTTAATTGGAAGAAATTCTGTATGGCTGCATACACCTTAGTATCAATGATACAGTTCACTGAAATATCACTTCAAGGGTTCCGAAAGGCTATTTTGAAAAATAGCATTCTTGAGTAGCATGTTTTATTCAGAAATAAGTGTTTATATTCTGTAAGGAATATAACCTGTAGTTAACATTCTGGCTAACGCTGTACATCAGTACTTGTGTTGTTCTGATGAAAGAGAACAAACATCAAAATTTACATTCAGATCTGTATTGTTTCATATTGTCATAACAGCCTGAAGAAAATAAAAACTCTGAAGAAAAGTGGATTTAACTTTTATTGCAGTAGTGGCAAGGAACTGTTAACCATATTCTGTATACGTTATGTATTTAACATACTACACACATTTATACACTCGCATCAAAGGATACTAAGGGTGAGCATTTTAACAGAAATGATGTTGCTTGTATAAGAGGCGCCTAATAACATGTTTCTGTGAATGAGGTGGCTTTGTTTCTGTTGCAGTTCTTGGTTAGTGGTTAAAAAAAATATTTTAAAAAAATAAAAATCCCTACCTACCTACCCTATTTTTTAAAAACATGTAACAGGAACCAAAGGATTTTTTTTTTTTGCCTGGTGATTTAATAATAAGTGATCTTCTATTATGCACAGTCTCCAAACACCAAGTGATTGCTCGCGGTGCTTAATCAGAATCTGAGTATTATTACCCTGGATAACCCAAGCTGCCGGTTAGGCGGTAGAAGGTTATAGTCACATGACTTTATCCAACCGGGTACCCCATTTCTGCTGGGTGAACAGAGGCAATTTTGAACAAACTCACTTGCCTAATGTGAGACCATATGTATCACATGTGCTTCATTGTGGGGCAGGACTGAAGTCTTAGAAACTCTGAGGAGTCAAGCTGCCAAACACGGTCGCCCGTCCAAGGACTCTCTGAGCTCGACGTTGCTTAACTTAACTGATTTGTGACCTGAGCTCTGTGCACAGGACCAACTATCTTATAAGTTTTAATTCCAGACACTAGTTATCCAAAATATGCTTTACAACCTAAATTGTCCCAAAATTCGTTATATACTCTTGATATTTGTGTGAGACTGTCCAGTGTTAAAGGAATAGTGCAATGTATCAGTGAGGTGTGTGTGTCTAAAGCTGGTGCCTTGTGTTACAGGTGAGGGAACAGATAGAGACACAGGTGAAGAACATGATTGTCAACTACCGCGAGGACGTTGACCTCCAGAACCTGGTGGACTGGGTGCAGCATGACTGGGTAACTTCATCAGTCACACTCAAGATATGATGGCTTCTCCTTTCTTCTTCTAATAGAAATTGATATGAAATGATAAGAAAGTACACTCAGTGGGTGACACCAGAGTGTCTGTAAACCTACCCTACATGTTCGAGATTAGAAATCAGAAATTCTGGTTGTGTGCTGTTTTCATTGTTACCAAATCCTCAATTGTTGTCATAGGTCTTAAGTTTTACAATTCTTCATACTTTCTTCAGGTCCAAGTCCAGCTTCAAATGCTACTCATTGATCTTGTCAAGTTACAGTCAACATTGATTTATATTTCTTGCCCCATTTCCTTTTTGAAGACTGCAGTTATATGCAGAAATCCGCATGTGTAGTATTACCATGACAGATTAAGTATAGTCATATGAAGAAATCTGCTTCTTAACTACTTTTAGTATAGCTATTGAGAAAGAGATTATCAGTGACATACACAATAATATTTCCCTTGCAACTAACAGTGTCTCATTTGTGTTTCAGTTGTTCTGCTGTGGCGTTCACACATTCCAGGACTGGGGCAACAACATGTACTTCAACTGTTCTTCCCCTGGGGTGGAGGCTTGTGGGGTGCCTTTCTCATGTTGTAAACCAACTGATGTACGTCACTATCATTACAACAAGGCCACAATAAACACAATATGTACTCTTAAGAGAAGTCATGATATGGAGGACTGTTTTTTGTTTGTTTGTTTTATTTGGGGGGTAGGGGGGTTGACTGACATTCATTATTTTAGATGTAAAGATATATTTTGGCATGAACATGAATATGATAATTTGTATGTTTAATGCCTTGGAGGGTGGACATTATGACATCAGTAATGGCTGTACCTAGGTCAGTGACATCAGGGAAGACCATCTCTCAATCTTGAATTGGCTGATAGTGTTGAGGAAGTGGGGTTTCAAGAAGCACATGAGTACAATGTCATCATGATATTGCTTGCATGTTGTCATAGTGTAGTATAATCATATTCACTCCTTCACTGACAGTTGTTTGTGCTCTCATGACAGGGGTCTGGCTGGTTTCACTCTGGTAGTTTACATGCTACCGTAACTAATGTGTTATTACTGACACTGGTGGACATTCAATAAATCAATAAGTCTTTTCTTGTGTCCTAGATAATATGGCCTGTTACATTATTCATGAAATTCTTACTGAAGACACTAATGCACATTTAATTATTGATTTTTCAGGATATTATACAAAACAGACACTGTGGCTATGGAATGAGGTCAACATCACATGTAAGAATTGCCGGTTTTATTTGGATCCATTGATTTATGTTGGATGTGATCCTTAAGTAACCTAAGTCGTCCAGTAAAGATTCCTTTGTCCTTATAAACATTTTTAAAACAACTGAACAATGTTTTTAAAATGCTATTCAGTTAAAAATTATCATTCACTGGTTTGCCCTGTCTAGAATTGATTATTTTTCCTTATCCTGACTCATGCTCTTTTTGCTTGTCTTCTTCTTCTTGCGAACATAGTGGAACACTTGTATCTCCCTAATTGAAGCTCCCTTCAATGTAAAATCACTAATTAGTACATCACGAGTTACCTCCCTTCCACAAGCGCGGGAACGAGGGCGCCACCTCTACCCATGTGCCTCACTCTCTCCTTCTTCGCCCAGTGAGCTGGACGTGAGAGCGCCTGTGTCTCCCGACACACTATATCCTTGGATTATATTTAGTTAGTTACCTCGTATAGACATCTATAGAGGTTTAGCTAGTATCCTTCAACAATTATATATTGATATTTAGTCGTGTTTCTACTGTTTATTCACGGGGCGCCATGTTTGTTCTGTGGATTACGCTTGATGAAAATTCTGTACTGTTGCAGATTACGCTTTTTATTCTGCTGCTGATCCGCATTTAATATGCCCTAGCTGTACTGCGCCATGTTCATTTTATTCACGCGGCAGTTGCGTACTAATTTATCCAATTCTGCCTTTAATAAATAAATACTTTATGTTTGAGACGCAGCAGCAGATAGGTCACGATGCAGAGTCTAGCCATGACTGATACACCTGAACCCTCGCCAGTCTACTGCGGTTGGTCGACCCCCTCCCGCCTGGCATTCCGCTAGAGTGGTGGAGAGGCGTGGGACGTAGTCCGCCGCCTTCCAAGAAGCGCCCTGCTTCCCCAGACATCCCATCATCGCGAGCCGAAGACTAGAGGGCTTCTACTGCATCTCAACGCAGACTTCACACCCCCAGGGCAGCGTCGACCTCTGAGGGGAAATCAACGAAGTACTAGAACTTTCTCAGCCGAGATTGTTCCCGCCGCAGATTTGGGCCTGTATGATGATCAGCCGATCATCATACCTGATGTACATCAAAAGAATGACCGATGTCGGCAACAGTGATGTCAGCGCGATCAACATGCAGCCTGATGTACTAACGCTGATATTCGATGATCTTCCTGAGGGTCCCGCTGCGCTACCAACACTCAACGCGAGACTTCGCGACCCCAGGGCAGCGCCGACCTCTGAGGGGAAATCAACGAAGTCTACTAGGACTTTCTCAACCGAGATTGTTCCAGCCGCTGAACTGGGCCTCTACGATGATCAACCGACATCATCCCCGGCGCATACAAAGAAGCGACCAGTGACATCAGCAGAGATCGCCATGCAGCCTGATGTCTCTACACTGATGTCAGACGACTTCCCTGAGGGCTCAGCAGCTGTCATCGCAGAGGGCACCGACCACTTCGCCGCAGACCATCCCAGACGAGCTGTTGCGGCAGATCATGACCATGATGGAGGGCCACTACAGACGGAGAAGCAGCCAGCCCAGGGCCTGAGCAACGCAGACAACACCCCAGAGGCACCCCCAGTCAGCGTAGCAGCCACGACAAGCAGCCTTCGAGAAGGAAGTCACAGACCACCTCGACGAAGGACCCAGATGTACAGTCTTCGGCGAAGGCTTTCGCGAAGACGGGAGAGATCGTCACCGCCCTCGGCCTCATCCTCAGATGCGGACTCAAGGTCATCCCATAGACGCAGATCACCTAGGCGATCTCCACGCCGTTCACCACGACGCATCTCCACGCACATCACCACGTCGATCACCTCGCAGGTCACCACACAAGTCGGCAGCGCCACCCGACATAGAGATAGCAGCACACAGGTCACCATCAGAAGAGCATCAACCTCTCATCACCGATGCTGGTACAGAAGATGATGGAGACATCATCTTCTCAGACGCTGAGATAAGATATTGGATGGTAAACAACCTAGATTTATCTTCACCGTCCAAGAGTGGCAACTCAGCGCAGACATACCTGATGAAGGAAGACGATGTAGACGCCGTCACCCTACCTCCGATCGACCCGATTGCCGCGGTGCCACAGAATGTGGACACAGCCTACCATAAAGGCATGTAAGTTCAAACGCCAGAGCGATATGTTCTTCTGGGCCTTAATAGATCTAGAACGATCAATGAGATTCTTATCACCAGATTTCGCGTGACACTTCGACTTCTGAAGATGATAGGATGATCTACTCGGCTCTACTTATGCAGAACCAGCAAGAACCACACCCTGTATGAAGCTAACGCTCATATATTGATCGGACTCTAGACACTTCGATAAGGAAGTCCCAGGTCAGCCTCGCCAAGGAACTAGAGCCTCACCAGTTACAAGGACGTCCACGGGAGGAGTAGCGCCGTGACCCCACATCCTGTTGAACACAGAGGTCGCTTCACGAAGCAAGCATGAGTCAGGATAAGTATAAAATATCAATTTTACTCTAAAAAAATTACATATATATATACTGATCGGGTTCTGATTCTCGATACCTTCGCCTTCGAAGGTCGCTAAGGCTAAGTGGCTCCAAGTCTGCTTCACCCAGAAGATCTAGAAGGGATACTTCGAGAGCTTCGTGAAGTCTCCGGCGTTCACCGAGGAAGTATCCTCCAAGGTCTCCATATACTAGCCACTGGCCATATATATAGCTACTCGTCAGTCCGCTTCAAGACATCGCATAAAGTGTCTATCAACTGTATGCCATATGCCGCCTATAAGCCTACGCCAAGACAATTGCACAGGCTATTTACAACACAGAACGTCGCTATATAAATTAGTCAACGACGCTTCATAGATATTCACAGAAATCAACTTTCCGTGATAGATTGCTAGAATATGCTATCCCACACTACGATACATGATTATCTACATGCGTTGACCATTACGCAGATCTGCAGACAATTCAATATCGAAATTGAACAGCAACCTGTTACAGCGTAGTATAACTCATAATCGTCAACGTTTCTGAGAAGTAATATGTACAACAAGTTCAGCTTTAATTCTACAATTATGACGATACATTCATGTATACAGTCTACAAGCTGACAACTTGCAAGTTTATTGTACCTTTATATAAGGAAGTCGGAATTATATCCAAAACTGAAGTTACTTTCACGACAGGCAGGAAAATAACCTACCCAGCATTAATATTACAGAGCGAGGTATTTCGCGCGTTTACCATTAACCCTCGAAACACGTGGTCACTCGGGTAACTTCGGAAAGCTACGGTGAAGACCGACGATTATGCTAATATAAACGACGGCAAGATTTTATACAAGGTTTTTCCTGCTACACCGGTGACATCACAGCGCTGGTATTCTACAGAATCAAAATGCCTTGTTCTGATTGGATCATGATGGACAACGACTCACGCGAGAGGTCGGTCTTAGTTCACAGTTCAAGACTCACGCTACAAGTGACAACTATATATCAGTGAACGAGCAAGCCTCCTTACAGTCCAGTTAATCTGAACCTTCATGATTGGGCTGCTTTCTTCAGGTTAGAGACCTCCCCTGTCAAGTTAGGACGAGGCACGGCAGTCAGGCTGCGATTTTACATAAAGTTCAACGAGGACAGACACACCTGGTTGTGCACCTACATCGTCCAAGGACTTCGCAGCGAATTTACCTAGACGACGGAATACAAGTGGATCTAAATCCACAGCGCCTCAGTCTACAACTGAATTTCATCATCAAACTACTAACACAACTAGATGGTGAGTAAACCTACTTAAGCTTTCTGATTGGAGGATTAAAAGCGGAAGTTTCACGCTCCAACTTCGATCTGTATATAGTGCTCCAACACCTCACAAGTGAGGTTTATGAACACGCCTGGATGACATACTTGGACTTCATGATACGATGATTCTATCACGATGGCCAGCAAGAGCACTGTAAATTTATCTCCACCGAACCAAACAGGAGGGAAAAATGCATCAGATTATTTCCTCTATATTCAAGTTACGCAGACGGAAGTCTCATGTACTACCATCTCCTTGGATCAGAACTGTCATACTATGTGCCTACAAGACTGATGGACCCGATCCGACCTCCATGAGCTTCTAATACTCATGATATTAGAGCTAACTGCTACAATTGATTTACACAAATGTTATTTGAAATTATGGAGGGGTTATTTCTGGAGATCCGATATGGTGGTTGCCAACCATTATCTGAGAGATATCACCGTCAAGGACGTCTCAGGTATCCACCAATTCGGTTCCAGGGTCCTCGCACAACAGTTGACAGTTCCTCGAGAAGATAAGTCAATCTTACAGATTTCTACTTATCTTATAACAGTACTAAATAGCTACATGCTATATATAATTTGCTTAAGTTCTTTTTTATCATCACAGTACTATGATTATTACATCATACAATATATAAGTTAACAACTCTACAGAGTTTGTTATTATATATTTACCTTAAGTTAATCATATCTTAAGCTTAGTACTATGGTTGCATTATAAATGCATTAGCTAATAAACTCTACAGAGTTTTTGGCTATTATATAACGTAGCTTAAGTTAATTATATCTTAAGCATAGTACTATACACATATTATAAAAATATATTAGCTTACAAACTCTACGGAGTTTTTGCTATTATATAGGTAGCTTAAGCTTATTCATATCTTAAGCTCAGTACTATGTTTATATCATATAAGTATATTAGCTAACAAACTCTAAAGAGTTTTTTGCTAATTGGCTTAAGTTTCATCATATCTTAAGCATTATGGTTACATTATAACATGTATTAGCTAACAAACTCTACGGAGTTTTTGCTATTATATATGTAACTTAAGCTTATTCATATCTTAAGCGCAGTACTATGTTTATATCATATAGGTATATTAGCTATCAAACTCTAAAAGAGTTTTGCTATTATATATTTGGCTTAAGTTTCATCATATTTTAAGCTTTATGGTTACATTATAACATGTATTAGCTAACAAACTCTACGGAGTTTTTGCTATTATATATGTAACTTAAGCTTATTCATATAGGTATATTAGCTATCAAACTCTAAAAGAGTTTTGCTATTATATATTTGGCTTAAGTTTCATCATATTTTAAGCTTTATGGTTACATTATAACATGTATTAGCTAACAAACTCTACGGAGTTTTTGCTATTATATATGTAGCTTAAGGTTTCCTTCATATCTTAAGCTCAATACTATGTTTATATCATATAAGTATATTAGCTAACAAAACTCTAAAAGGTTTTTTGCTATTATATATTTAGCTTAAGTTCATCATATCTTAAGCAGTATGGTTACATTATAAAATGTATTAGCTAACAAACTCTACGGAGTTTTGCTTTTATATATATAGCTTAAGTTTAATCATATCTTAAGCTCAGTACTATGTTTTTAACATAAAAGTATATTAGTTAAAAACTCTAAGGAGTTTTTGCTATATACATTTAGCTTAAGTCTAATCATATCTTAAGCTTAATACTATGGTTACAATATAAGTCTATTAGCTAATAAACTCTACAGAGGTTTTGGCTATTGTATATGTAGCTTAAGTTAATTATATCTTAAGCACAGTACTATACTCATATTGTAAAAATATATTAGCTAACAAACTCTACAGAGTTTGCTATTATATATGTAGCTAAAGCTTATTCATATCTTAAGCTCAGCACTATGTTTATATCATATAAGTATATTAGCTAACAAACTCTAAAGAGTTTTGCTATTATATAATTAGCTTAAGTTTAAGCATATCTTAAGCTTAGTACTATGTTTATATCTTAAAGTAATTTAGCTAACAAACTCTAAGGAGTTTATACTAGCAATTTAACAAGCTTAAGTCTATTAGTCTTAAGCATTGTATTAATGTTATATATACTTTATCATAATAAGTACATTGTAATAAGTACATTGTAATAACCTTTATATGGCAGCTGATAAGTTAGCAGCAGGAATTCATCAGTTCAGTGCCTTTATGAAGTTCCCATAGGGTTATTACAATCATCACAGTTCAAATCACTAATTATTAAAATCCAAAGTATTATATATTCCCACCTCCTTTTCCGTAGGATTCTACAAGCAAAAAGAGCATGAGTCAGGATAAGGAAAAATATGTAATTTTTAGAGTAAAATTGATATTTTATACTTATCCTGACTCATGAGGTAAGCCCTCCCATCCTCCCCACATAACACTTTGGATTTCCCTGTAAATTCAAATGTTGGGCTCAGTATATGAGGAGAGAGTGAGGCACATGGGTAGAGGTGGCGCCCTCGTTCCCGCGATTGTGGAAGGGAGGTAACTCGTGATGTACTAATTAGTGATTTTACATTGAAGGGAGCTTCAATTAGGGAGATACAAGTGTTCCACTATGTTCGCAAGAAGAAGAAGACAAGCAAAAAGAGCATGAGTCAGGATAAGTATAAAATATCAATTTTACTCTAAAAATTACATATTGATATACTCGTAACAGTAATGGTTGCACTGTTGTACTTACAGTTCTTGACTAGCATTTAGAAGTTGGACAAATATGAGTACATGACATGTTTTTATGGATAGCACCTTTTTTTTATTCTTTATACAATGTTTCAGAGCTACTTCCTGCTCCTTCATCAGGTGAATGCAGAGTCAGTGTATTGAACAACAAGAAGTTGTTATCCATCAAACGTGCCATGTATTCATGTTGTACTTACAGTTGCCCAGTAGTGCAGACAGATTTTCAGTAATGCTTACCAATTTAACAGGCGTAATGAACTAGTCATTGTCTCTATCCCTGGTCAATTCAGACTTGTAACCAAGTGCACATGGTCACACAAAACAATATATTGATGCCACTCATTCTGATCGCCAACGCTTTCCTTGTCTGTGCAGGATATTGACCGGAGCACCAAGATCTACACCACAGGATGTCTCCCTTCAGGGGAGAAGTGGCTCGAGGCAAACCTCATCCCAGTAGCAGCAGTGGCTGTTAGTGTAGCCCTCCTTCAGGTAACCAGACATAGACAGACACACAATAAGTCACTGTCAGCGTAGGTCTTCCTCAGGTAACCATACCTTTGTTGACAGTTTCACAGACACACAATCAGTCACTGTCAGCGTAGCTCGCCTTCAGGAAACCAGACCTTTGTTGACAGTTTCACAGACACACAATCAGTCACTGTCAGCGTAGGTCTCCCTCAGGTAACCATACCTTTGTTGACAGTTTCACAGACACACAATCAGTCACTGTCAGCGTAGCTCGCCTTCAGGAAACCAGACCTTTGTTGACAGTTTCACAGACACACAATCAGTCACTGTCAGTGTAGCTCTCCCTCAGGTAACCAGACCTTTGTTGACAGTTTCACAGACACACAATCAGTCACTGTCAGCGTAGGTCTCCCTCGGGTAACCAGACCTTTGTTGACAGTTTCACAGACACACAATCAGTCACTGTCAGCGTAGCTCTCCTTCAGGAAACCAGACCTTTGTTGACAGTTTCACAGACACACAATCAGTCACTGTCAGCGTAACTCTCCCTCAGGTAACCATACCTTTGTTGACAGTCTCACAGACACAATCAGTCACTGTCAGCGTAACTCTCCTTCAGGTAACCAGACTTATGTTGACAGTCTCACAGACACACAATCAGTCACTGTCAGCGTAGGTCTCCCTCAGGTAACCAGACCTATGTTGACAGTCTCACAGACACACAATCAGTCACTGTCAGCGTAACTCTCCCTCAGGTAACCATACCTTTGTTGACAGTTTTCACAGACACACAATCAGTCACTGTCAGCGTAACTCTCCTTCAGGTAACCAGACCTTTGTTGACAGTCTCACAGACACACAATCAGTCACTGTCAGCGTAACTCTCCCTCAGGTAACCAGACCTTTGTTGACAGTCTCACAGACACACAATCAGTCACTGTCAGCGTAGGTCTCCCTCAGGTAACCAGACCTATGTTGGCAGTCTCACAGACACACAATCAGTTACTGTCAGCGTAGGTCTCCCTCAGGTAACCAGACCTTTGTTGACAGTTTCACAGACACACAATCAGTCACTGTCAGCGTAACTCTCCCTCAGGTAACCATACCTTTGTTGACAGTTTCACAGACACACAATCAGTCACTGTCAGCGTAACTCTCCTTCAGGTAACCAGACCTTTGTTGACAGTCTCACAGACACACAATCAGTCACTGTCAGCGTAACTCTCCCTCAGGTAACCATACCTTTGTTGACAGTTTCACAGACACACAATCAGTCACTGTCAGCGTAACTCTCCTTCAGGTAACCAGACCTTTGTTGACAGTTTCACAGACACACAATCAGTCACTGTCAGTGTAGCACTCCCTCAGGTAACCATACCTTTGTTGACAGTTTTCACAGACACACAATCAGTCACTGTCAGCGTAACTCTCCTTCAGGTAACCAGACCTTTGTTGACAGTCTCACAGACACACAATCAGTCACTGTCAGCGTAACTCTCCCTCAGGTAACCATACCTTTGTTGACAGTTTCACAGACACACAATCAGTCACTGTCAGCGTAACTCTCCTTCAGGTAACCAGACCTTTGTTGACAGTCTCACAGACACACAATCAGTCACTGTCAGCGTAACTCTCCCTCAGGTAACCATACCTTTGTTGACAGTTTCACAGACACACAATCAGTCACTGTCAGCTTAACTCTCCTTCAGGTAACCAGACCTTTGTTGACAGTCTCACAGACACACAATCAGTCACTGTCAGCGTAACTCTCCTCAGGTAACCATACCTTTGTTGACAGTTTCACAGACACACAATCAGTCACTGTCAGCGTAACTCTCCTTCAGGTAACCAGACCTTTGTTGACAGTCTCACAGACACACAATCAGTCACTGTCAGCGTAACTCTCCCTCAGGTAACCATACCTTTGTTGACAGTTTCACAGACACACAATCAGTCACTGTCAGTGTAACTCTCCTTCAGGTAACCAGACCTTTGTTGACAGTCTCACAGACACACAATCAGTCACTGTCAGCGTAACTCTCCCTCAGGTAACCATACCTTTGTTGACAGTTTTCACAGACACACAATCAGTCACTGTCAGCGTAACTCTCCTTCAGGTAACCAGACCTTTGTTGACAGTCTCACAGACACACAATCAGTCACTGTCAGAATAGGTCTCCCTCAGGTAACCAGACCTTTGTTGACAGTTTCACAGACACACAATCAGTCACTGTCAGCGTAGGTCTCCCTCAGGTAACCAGACCTATGTTGACAGTCTCACAGACACACAATCAGTCACTGTCAGTGTAGCACTCCCTCAGGTAACCAGACCTATGTTGACAGTTTCACAGAGACACAATCAATCACTGTCAGCGTAGCTCTCCCTCAGGTAACCAGACCTTTGTTGACAGTCTCACAGACACACAATCAGTCACTGTCAGCGTAGCTCTCCCTCAGGTAACCAGACCTATGTTGACAGTTTCACAGACACACAATCAGTCACTGTCAGCGTAACTCTCCCTCAGGTAACCAGACCTTTGTTGACAGTTTTCACAGACACACAATCAGTCACTGTCAGCGTAACTCTCCTTCAGGTAACCAGACCTTTGTTGACAGTCTCACAGACACACAATCAGTCACTGTCAGCGTAACTCTCCCTCAGGTAACCATACCTTTGTTGACAGTCTCACAGACACACAATCAGTCACTGTCAGTGTAGCTCTCCCTCAGGTAACCAGACCTATGTTGACAGTTTCACAGACACACAATCAGTCACTGTCAGTGTAGCTCTCCCTCAGGTAACCAGACCTATGTTGACAGTTTCACAGACACACAATCAGTCACTGTCAGTGTAGCTCTCCCTCAGGTAACCAGACCTTTGTTGACAGTTTCACAGAGACACAATCAGTCACTGTCAGTGTAGCTCTCCCTCAGGAAACCAGACCTTTGTTGACAGTTTCACAGACACACAATCAGTCACTGTCAGTGTAGCTCTCCCTCAGGTAACCAGACCTATGTTGACAGTTTCACAGACACACAATCAGTCACTGTCAGTGTAGCTCTCCCTCAGGTAACCAGACCTATGTTGACAGTTTCACAGACACACAATCAGTCACTGTCAGCTTAGAACTCCTTCAGGTAACCAGACCTTTGTTGACAGTCTCACAGACACACAATCAATCACTGTCAGCGTAGCTCTCCCTCAGGTAACCAGACCTATGTTGACAGTTTCACAGACACACAATCAGTCACTGTCAGTGTAGGTCTCCCTCAGGTAACCAGACCTATGTTGACAGTTTCACAGACACGCAATCAGTCACTGTCAGCGTAGGTCTCCTTCAGGTAACCAGGCCTTTGTTGGCTGCCTCGCAGACTAGTCACTGCCAGCGTAACTCTCATTCAGGTAACCAGACACAGACAGACCCACAGTCAGTCACTGTAAGCCTAACTCTCATTCAGGTTACCAGACCTTTGTTGGCAGTCTCACAAACACACTATCAGTCACTGCCAGCGTAACTCTCATTCAGGTAACCAGACACAGACAGACCCACAATCAGTCACTGTAAGCCTAACTCTCATTCAGGTTACCAGACCTTTATTGACAGTCTCACAAACACACAATCAGTCACTGTCAGCTTGGAACTCCTTCAGGTAATCAGACCAATGTTGACAGTCTCACACACATGGAAACACCTTCTGTCACTGTCAGCCAAGCACTCCTGACATCGTATTGCTGAGACTGTTTTGTCTAACAAGGCCTTAATCTTACCACAGACTGAAGAAGAGACTGGACATATAGGGTAGAGGACTTAGCTTATTCACATTGATGTGCACAATAGTGTTCACTCAGTTATCTGGTTAATGAGATAATAAGGTATTTACCATATAATGTCATTCAGCATATATGACAACAACCAGCATACAAAAATATATTGGCAGAAATGAACATCATCAAAAGTTAAATATACTAGTCAATAACACACTCTTCATTTACTTAATTCATTTTTCGTTTCAGATATTTGCAATTTGCTTTGCTCAAAATTTACGCAACGACATCCAAGCCCAGAGGGCGAAGTGGGGATGACATGAGGCAGGGGGACATGAGCTACTACCCAGACACAGAGCCCAGAACTCACGCGATTCACGCCATCACCGTGGCAACCAAACGCTACTCTCTTAATGAGTTCAGATAAATTTTCTGCAGTGCTACTGTCATAGGTTCTTCTTATCCAGATTAGCTGTAAGATAAGATTTTATATTTTACATTTTAGATGTTTTTTAAAAATATTTTTAATCAAATCTTAATCAAAATATTTTAATCATGATGCTGAGTTTGTGTGTTTTGCTCTATTCTTAATCATTCAGACATCCTCTGTTTTATGCAGTTGGTATATTTTTTATGATATCAGACTAAAAAGTATTAAATGTTCCGTAGAGAAAATATTTGCCTCTTAGGTAATAAGTTTGTAATTGACTAATTTTTTGTAACATTTATTCATGTTTTTGTAAAGAGGTTTGCCATCTAACTGAACCAATTTTAAATGTTAATTAGAATGAAGTTTTAAAAATAGAGTTTCATCAGCTAAGAATGTCGGCCATGTTTGGGTAACCTGTCCCCCACCCCACCAACACGTTTCATCTTACCATTGTGTACATCTGTTTACATACATCTATATATACACATGATATACATATTATTTTATTTATTTAGTTCAAATATGCATATGCCAGACACTCCTGTGTCTTGAGTTAAGGAGGAAAACAAAACCATTACTTGTGTCTTAGCGCATATCCTGACTGTGTCTTTTTACCAAGTCATTTGCGAAAATATTGAAATATTCATTTCTTAAGATCACCTCACATTTCTACCTGTATAAAACAAATCATCATTGATTTACAAGGTTTGTACATTTGTGGAATATTTGGCTAAAAAATCAATCACTGGTTCTCAGGAAGTGAAAGACTGGTGCAGAAGGAAGACTGTGTTTTGAAGTGTGAAAAAAAGTATGTACCTGTCGAGTTGTCACACTTTGTCTGATTTCAGTACTGGAATGGTTTTTTACTAGATCAAGTTTACAAATATGGATTTGCCTGGGAACCAAACCTATTTTTTCAGCCTTATGTATGGCTAGGATCGAAAGCTCAAATCACTTGTGATTTCAAGACAAAGGGATGTGATTTTTCATTGATATTACTTCATTTTAATTGTAAAAAATGTCATTACCCTGTTAGAAATATATATACATTTTGTTGGATTTTTAAAAAAACTGTCTTTAAACATGTTGTAATTCTGTTGAATGTCATGAAGATATTTGGAAGCTCTTACAGTGGTGCTTTCAAAAGAGCCAAGGGATGCAGCGTAATGTTTGTGATTAATGATTGCTCCAGTCTGAAACCAATGACAGAGATTTATTTTCCTACTGAAATCCGTGTTCACTTGGATCAGTGTAAACCAGTGCTGATGTTATATTTTAGATGAGTAGTGGTCCAACAAATCATTGTTTCAACCTCATGTTTCATCACTTTATACTCTTTTATACTGATTTTGTTTTTGTCATGGCTCAAATCATGCTTGCTGCTTTTTGTGGAAAAATGTCAAATTACTGTTCGCTTCAGGGAGGAGGAATCTGCGTTTTTGTGTTCACCGTTTTGTCACTTGTTTCAAATTTCTTTTGTTAATTTAACCAAAGTGATATACTCATAACCGAATGTCAAATATTTATACTCTCTGTAATGGAAGATAATTGTTTGCTTTTTAGATATTTAGACATGTATATAGTCAAATACAACAATTTATTCTGTGTAATTTGTGTATGTTGAAAATACAGCCATTTAGTTAGGTATATGTGCGGTGAAGGTATCTCTATGCTACTCCTTATAAACAGTTTTTTATATTGACATGAAGTTGTCCAGAAGGAGGAGCACGGAGTTACACTAAATGTACTAAATTAAGTGCTTATGAAGACAATTAATGAAGACAATTAAGCATGTATCGGTTACAATTCTACACATTCTGCCAGATGTGTTTGATAGATGGCGCCTGGTTGTTTTATGGTGACATATTGTAGTTGTGTATAAGCATTCCTTCCTACCCATTGTTGATCCATGTTGATCTCTGATATACTCTGATACCACATAGTCAGCTGTATAGTCATCAGTACTTGTGATTATGTATCAAACTGTTGTTTACATTTGAACCACCTATAACTGTAGACCACCTGGGACTGTTGTTCGCAGATTGACAAGAGAATGTTGTCATGTACTGGTCACTGGGAACTACCTTTGCTTTGACACACAAACAGGAACAATTGGGTAGCTAAGTGTTTGTCACATCCTGGGTCCTGTGAAGCTCATATGGTGTCTCCTGCTGTGATATTGCTGGGACTCTGCTAAAATCAAAAATCATAAGATTAGTAATCAGCTATTTGTTTTGATTTCAACTCATTAATCCAATTTTGGCCAGTAAAATGGCAATTACTTATGCACACACTTTAATAGGAGTATTTAATGCATCAAGAATTACCAAAATAATACAAGAATAGTACAGTAAAGTGTGGTTATCATCAACTAAAAGGAGTACCTTATTACTGCAGTTGTTATATGCATTTCAACTAAAATATACAGCAAGTGGCTGGGACGAAATATACAATAAATCTGTCAGTTTGTCATACAAACATAGTATAATGTATCTTCTATATGCTCCAGAATAACCAGATTGTGACCTTGCTGGTGGTTAACATTTCACTACATAAACACTTGGTCTTCAGACAATACCAGAAAATTACCATGTTTCAGTTCATGACAACATTTCATGTCAATTTTGCGAACACACCCGATGATATAAAAGATTCATGTTATAGTGTTCATAAGGGAAAATGTTGTACATTGTTGTCATAGAGTTGCCTCCCTTTAGCACTCATTTGTTTTTAAAATTGCCACAAAAGAAATCATCACCTTAGTATAATCATGATGTGTGTGATTAAATACGGCTCAGATTATCTCATTAAAAGGCTTTCCGTATCAGGTTTGTAATGACATAAATGATATATATTGTAGGTAAAGAGCAGTAACTGTAGCCATTGTTTAATTGGAATACAACTCTCAACTCCAACAACTTACCTCAGTACACAGTTGTGAGCAGGCACAACCGGTCCAGTTGCCATTTATTTCATGAAAGTTTGTGGTTGATGATGTGTCCAAAATTAATTAGTTGTCCTGGGTATGATGTAATGTCATGTCTTTTGTCCGTCGCCTGTCAGGCATTTTGGCCTTCTCTAAAGCTACCTTTGATTATGCTTAGGGTTAGGTTAGGGCTAAATGAAAGGGTTTGATATATTTTTAAAAATCAAATGCTATAGTTGATATGGTCAACAATCTGTTAGACATCTTTACAGTCTACAGAACTATCATTAAAACATCAATGTATTATCTACCGCTTCTAATAAATATCAATCTACTCAAGTCAACTATGTCTGCTTTTGATTGTCTAATGTACTATGCTATTTTTGATGATGTAGGCTTGCATAAGACAAAACATTATGGATGTCAACTTCTTTATTGTATACACAACGTTTCTGGGCTATTCCTTGCCCCTTCGTCAGGTGACGAACATGATAAAGGAAGGTGAGCTACAGGTTATAAGTGTGTGTTTTTCTAAGAAGGCTTAGGGAAGTGCTGATGATGGTTTATGATTACTGTATATCTGTGATAGGGTTCAGGAGTGGTTTCCCCTGTGGCAACACCAATTCATCTCTACGTGTGTCTTTAGGGGCACCTGTTATAGTGCTAAATCTGTTTATTATGCAATTATTTTGAGTCACTGTTTTCAGCAGTCAGACTGATTCATTTATATATCCTGACACCATACCATGCAGATGATACAAGATTGGGGGTATGGTGATACTCACTGATAAATATTTCACAAACTGTTAATATATTATTATTTTGATAGCCAGGAACATTTCATACACCTTTGTATTGTCTACATGTAAAATTCAGCTGTATAAAAGCCTGACCATAATTAATATTTTGGTAGATTTCCTTCTAGAATGCCCACCAAAACTCCAAAAGTACTTACAGAAGAAGAAATAACTGTGTTCACTCCCAAATAATTCAATTCAATTAATTGTTGGAGCCTAGTGTTATTTTTAGACCTTATGATAACCTAAAATTTCAAGCAAAATTCCTTGTCTTGTGTTGCCATATTTACATAATTACTGGAATAAAATGTTTGAGTGAAGTAATGTAATTTATTTGTCCAGGAGAGACTTGCAAGTTGAAGGTTTGGTCAGTGGATGAGGACATGCACACTCTGATTTTGAATGCAGTGTTTGAACACAGCCTGCTTTTATTAAAACTGTTTTCTAACTCAAATACTCCAGTCATTGAAGTTGGCTTCACATAGGCCCTGATTCCATATTATAAAACACAGGTCCTTACTACACATATACAATACAGTTTGCTAAAAATTCTTTTGTGGAATTACCTCATACATTTTTGTGTGAAATTGACAGTTTTTACTCTTTTTTTCTTTTTTTTAAAAAAGCAAAGGATCAAACCCTAGGGATTGAGAATTGTTTTTATTATTATTTTTTTTTAAATATATAAGCCCTGGTTATGTGTAGTAACTGCAAATGTATGGGTGGGATACAGTGTAAAAAAATAGTAAGCTCCAAGATCTGATTTGGATGCGATGGCAGCTTGAGGTCATGTTTTGATCATGTTGATAGTTTGAACATGAACTGATAGTGTTGATCACTGCTGCACTGTAGGAAGTGGATTAACACTGTGTACCTCTACACTCTTGCAATCACCCTTCTACAGTCGCTATTGTGTTACCCCAAATTCCTGCTTTATAGGCAACGTTACAGTTGTGACAAGCGTAGGGCATGAGAGGCCATTGTTTACTGTTGGTTAATAGTCTACCACTAACTGTTGCTGTCATTTATGGCAGACTTATGTTGCTATGGTCACAAGCTGTTTACAGGATTTTGTTGTTAATGCTCAGATGAGAGAATCAAATGTCACTGCAAGATATGGCAGTTTTCAAGAATAACTTGCAATGGTTTTGAAGGAAATTGCTCAAATGAAAGCACTTGTTTGAATGTTGACATGTTAACTTTTTGTCTGTAGACGTGTAATGAGTTGCTTATGTCACTGATGAGGTGTACACCTCAAGATCAAAGGTCAAGGAGTGCAAAAAAATCTTGTACACCTGGCTGTTGCGAATGTCATGTTAACAATTTTATCTTTTGATTTCATGAATTTGCAATACATATTTACAGTAAACTATTTATATATGACAATTAGATCTATCGTATGACCACCATTGATGTTGGCATGGTGACTCAAAGTGAACAGGGTTAATTCTTCAATCATTGATATGAGGTCATTATGTCTCTACACACAGGTCAGCCAGTATTTTATGAATCTTTACAAGACGGCAACTGGCCAATCAGAAAGCCAGAATCTTTAACAAGTAATGATAATATTTTATGTGCATTTGATATCAGCCTTGTTGTACAGGAAGGAAGAAATCAAATTGGTCATCTTCCTTTCGGAAGTGAGGAAGTATGTTGTCAAAGAAAACAATTTATTTTATGATACACAGGCAACAATTGAATTTTGACAAAGACAAAATAAAAACATCAAGGCAGGGTGCAATGATTATCCTTTATTAATCAGTGTTCAGATCCCAGATTATAATTTACTATTATTATCAATGTGTGTGATAGAAGTAAAATATATGTTATTATATCACTTTAAACTTACATCCAATCAATTCTATGTCTTTTTTTATATATATCTTATATTAAAAACAACAACCAACATATATAATACCTAAAGTATTATAATGATTGACAATGAAATGTACATAGCTGCATGTTATGTGTCTTGGTGTTTTGTTTTCCTTTCATACAGAGCTGTGTAACCCATGTGTTGTGTTGGTAGATCTTCTTTTGGGAAGGTAACACAGGCCGACTTGGGCAGCCATTGCCAATACAGTCATACCAGCAGTGGCGACTGCAAGTTGTTTTACATTTTTTAAAGTTTTTTTTAAATTACATCCACTGTCAAGTACGAAAATTATTATCACACATTAGTGAAGCCACTGGAAAATATATTTGAGGTTCCTTTTGGACCAGACCTTGTGTCAACTCGACCTCTTGATTCCTTTTGGGGCTGTGGGGTAGCCTAGTGGTTAAAGCGTTGGCTCGTCACGCCGAAAACCCGGGTTCGAATCCCCACATGGGTACAATGTGTCAAGCCCATTTCTGGTGTCCCCTGTCGTGATGTTGCTGGAATATTGCTAAAAGCAATGTAAAACCAAACTCAGTCAGTCAGTCAGTCTTAATTCCTTTTGATGATTATTTACAAAAGTGAAAAGTGACAGTGCAATATGGTTCACAATCAAAATGCAACAAAATTTGGTGCTTATATTTTTGGGGGTTAATGTTCACATTTTATTAAAGAATGCAGATATCCAAACTTCAAATATCCTAATCATGTTTTGATTGGCTCATTTGTTATTTCTTGATATACATAAATGTCCAAATGAAAAATTTAATAATATGGTTGGAATGGATTTGATATTGTCGTTATCTCTCAGTTGGAACAAAGCGCACAAATAGTTTTAGCTTGGCAGTCAGAGATAAGATTTCCTTGAAAACTTGGAATCAAATGTTCTTTTTATGATACCATTTTTATGTTTTGATGATTTCAGGTCTAGTCCATTGATGAGTACATGGCTTATACATAAAAATCCAAAATATGAGGAAACATAATTTACATGAAATACACAATGCCATTTAGAAAGTGGTCAAATGTAACATATGTCATATTTGGGATTACACTTTCTTATAAAGTACAAATTCTAGTACTTTTTTAGTTGAGCCCCATCCAGGATTCGAACTCACACCCTCAGAGTCAGGCACCTAATCACCAGCACACAAAGTCAGCCGCCTAACCCGCTCAGCTACCGCTTTGTGTGCTGGCAATTAGGTGCCTGACTCTGAGGGTGTGAGTTCGAATCCTGGATGGGGCTCAACTAAAAAAGTACTAGAATTTGTACTTTACTAAGAAAGTGTAATCCCAAATATAACATATGTTATAATTTACATGGTTAGGATATTTAAAGAGCATTTATCACCCATGGGAGTTATGTAGACCATAGGCATTGCTGTAGAGACCTGTGTCATTTTTTTTTTCTAGTGACTGTTTTGTCCTGTGTGCAGATGGCAGCCCCAGGTAGTGTTGAATCTCTTGAAAAATAGGTTCAGTTCTGTCCTAGCCTGTTTTGCAATTGGTTGTTACTTGTATTTGGTTGTGTCAACTACTGCAATATTTTTCTTTCCACTTCAATTTATCATACATTGTTTGTTAGATGTTCATTACTAGAGAGGATCTGCTGAATAAACTTTCTTCTACATTTTCTTGCTTTTCTTCATTGATGGGAACAACTAATGGACTTTTGATAATGGACTTGGTTTGTTTGCGCCATACACTTACTTGAGGATTGTGTAAACTTCTAATTATTGAAGCACTGAATCTCTTAGTTTATCCTGGCACACTTTGAAATGACTGAAATAATTAATACAGGCCATTCCAAACAGAATTGTGTCGCTTATTGAAAAATGGGTTTTGTCTCCCTGGGTGAGTTGGGTTGTCACAATGAATAGATCTTGCCATCTTAGTATCATTACTTTATTTACAAAACACTTGAACTGTTGTATAAATGTCTTATTCAACCCCACACCTGTTTGTCCAGTATTAGATTCACGTAAACCTCAAATGAATGACCTAATGACCTAATCCCAATCAGTAGGCTATGACAGTGCACATACATGTAGGCCTATGTACCTGTATATTCAAATATTGTATGCAAGTCAAATGATCTTCACTGCATTTTACTTAATGAATAATGCCCAGTTATAACTCTTTTATGGGACTGGAGTACTGCCCTTTTAACTGCCATATAACCGACACAGCCAGGTCTCCACCGAACGTTACAGATTAAGTTGCAGCAGTTGTCAACTGGTGAATAATAATCACCAGATGTGAACCAGATATGCCAATATTCATGAAAGAAACGACTCACAAGAAATAATTTCCATAGGGACATTCACTAAGTCAGGGTCAATACAGCAACCGTTAGGAATAGACCTGGGCCAATGTCAGATCATAATGGCAATATTTAGTCATCCACACTGGTCAAAACCGTGTAAAATGCAACATTTCTTTTTCATATTTGTGAACATATTTTTTAATAATCTACAGTGAACAAATGTACAAATGTATTTGTGAAGTGGATTCAGTATTTAATGTTAATGCCAGTAGAATGATCAGTCTCCATTATCTGTAAAAACAAATTCCACAGGGCAAAATAGGGCGTATCATTTTTGATGGATCACTGAAAAATCAGTTATGACAACACGCTGTTTACAAGTATTTCCTGCCTACAAGTAAAGAGAAACGTTTCAGAAGCATTATTTGGCAACAAAATTGGCGCAGTTTGACTCTCTCCTCCCACATAATTATCAACATGATGTAGCTTTTGATGAAACTGGGATACCGCTTTGTAACAACATTGTTACATTGTTGTTCGATGCCTACGAATCATGCATGCAATTGGAAACACCTCTCCTTTACTTCCATGTACATTCCACAAGGCTGCAAGGACTGGATCATGTATGCTCCTCAAACCTGGTTCTATATGTTCGGCAACTCTGTTGCAAGGACTCAGTAATGAAGGTTGCTGAACCATCTAAGTTCCTCATGGTAGTGGCAAGGACTGTGTCAACATGGTTGCAAAGCCAGGGTCATGCACGTGCCTCTATATCTATAGGGCATGTAGTCTCCTTTCAATGGACGCAAGGCCTGGGTCATGTAAGTGGCTGTAGGTGGAGGCAAGGCCTGGTTCATGTAAGTGGCTGTAGGTGAAGGCAAGGCCTTGTTCATGTAAGTGGCTGTAGGTGGAGGCAAGGCCTGGTTCATGTAAGTACCTGTAGATGGTCGCAAGGCCTGGGTCATGTAAGTGCCTGTAGATGGTCGCAAGGCCTGGGTTATATAAGTTTATGTAAGTGCCTGTAGATGGACGCAAGGTCTTGGTCATGTACGTGCCTGTAGATGGTCGCAAGGCCGGGTTCATGTAAGTGCCTGTAGTTGGTCGCAAGGCCTGGTTCATGTAAGTGCCTGTAGATGGTCGCAAGGCCTGGGTCATGTAAGTGCCTGTAGATGGTCGCAAGGCCTGGGTTCATGTTTATGTAAGTGCCTGTAGATGGACGCAAGGTCTTGGTCATGTACGTGCCTGTAGATGGTCGCAAGGCCGGGTTCATGTAAGTGCCTGTAGTTGGTCGCAAGGCCTGGTTCATGTACGTGCCTGTAGATGGTCGCAAGGCCTTGGTCATGTAAGTGCCTGTAGATGGTCGCAAGGCCGGGTTCATGTAAGTGCCTGTAGATGGTTCGCAAGGCCTTGGTCATGTAAGTGCCTGTAGATGGACGCAAGGCCGGGTTCATGTACGTGCCTGTAGATGGACGCAAGGCCTTGGTCATGTAAGTGCCTGTAGATGGTCGCACGCAAAGGCCTGTAGATAGTCGCAAGGCCTTGGTCATGGTAGATGGACGCAAGGCCTGGATCATGTAAGTGCCTGTAGATGGACGCAAGGCCTTGGTCATGTAAGTGCCTGTAGATGGACGCAAGGCCTTGGTCATGTAAGTGCCTGTAGATGGACGCAAGGCCTTGGTCATGTAAGTGCCTGTAGATGGACGCAAGGCCTTGGTCATGTAAGTGCCTGTAGATGTACGTGCCTGTAGATGGCCTTGGTCATGTAAGTGCCTGTAGTTGGTCGCAAGGCCTTGGTCATGTAAGTGCCTGTAGATGGTCGCAAGGCCTTGGTCATGTAAGTGCCTGTAGTTGGTCGCAAGGCCGGGTTCATGTACGTGCCTGTAGATGGTTGCAAGGCCTTGGTCATGTAAGTGCCTGTAGATGGTCGCAAGGTCTTGGTCATGTAAGTGCTTGTAGATGGTCGCAAGGTCTTGGTCATGTAAGTGCTTTTAGATGGTCGCAAGGCCAGGCTTTGATGTTCGTCACGATGGTTGCAAGGGCTTGTAGCATGAGCTGCTCTTAAGAGAAATATTACAGTATGGTCTTTTTCCAGTTCTTTTGAAATTTCGGAAAAGAAAATTAACGGAAGAATATACGTGATAGTCTCTCTTGCAGGTCGCGAAACAAACCATGCCTTGCTATAGCTTTACAAGTCTTAATATATTCTGTTTCAGGGTAAATGCAGATATTCTAGGGGCTTCTTTCTATAACAGTTTTTATATTTGAGGACAATTTGTCTAATTTCTTTTTCGGAAATTCACGAGTACTTGAGAAATGAGTGTGATCCTCCAAAAGATGTTTAGAGCCCTGAATCTATTGAGATATGAGTGTTAAAGCACTCACAATGTCTAAACAATTTATAACACGTTTCAGTGAAGCTTTACATACAGCCGGGCAATGTTTACCACTGCTTTTACTCCATTTACTCCATTTATTTACGACCCGTGAAGATCCGGGTCAGATTTGGTATTTAGCAACCCATGCTTGTCGTACTAACGGGATTGGGTGGTAAGGCTCGCTGACGTGGTTGACACATGTCATCATATCCCATTTGCGTGGATCGATGCTCATGCTGTTGATCACTGGATTATCTGGTCCAGACTTGATTATATACAGACCGCCGCAATATAGTTGGAATATTGCTAAGTGCGGCTTTAAATAACTAACCATATATTTACTCCTTGTCAGTCTACTGATTTTTGTCCCAGTACTTTGTTTACACAGCGAGATACTCACTCATTCTTATACAGAAACAAAAACAAAACAATTCTAATGGCGCCTTGTCTTCTTATTGTGGCTGCTGGGAGGTGTTCTACTGCTACCAGCCTGTTGGTCCTGTAATAACAGCTGCCTTGTCAATATTGTTGGCAACAACAACTTCGTTAGCTTTTCAAATATTGAATATCAACTAGTACCGCATGTAGGTAGGGCTCTGCTTCCCTGGACAGGAATCCATATTTGTAGCTGAGGTTTCCGTAATATA